TCTTCATCTCTAAGTTCACCTGTGGTTATGAATCGTGGGTCATAACTGAAAAACTTCGATCCAAGATGCAATCGGTTTTCTAAAATAAATCGCCGGGCTCAAGCGTCTCGACATTGTGCCGCGTACAGATGCCCGAGAGAGTGGTGGTGAATATTCGTCGCTTCTCAAAACTGAGAGGTCACAACTGCGACAATTTAGGCACGTTTTGCTAATATTTCCAGAAAGGAAGACGATACAGCTACTACTGACCCAAGGAACGAAGTCCCTGGGGATGACAAAGAATTTCCTGTGACAACTGTCTAGACCGACTCTGCTACAGATTCTAGTTGTCTTCTGCGGATGCTGAAAGCCGAAGCCACTGAAACGGTATAAGGAACACTGGAGACAGTTTGGCGGGTCTGTCTTCGCGTTTGGAAAGAATAAACGATCATCGAAACTGACTGACTGACTGACAAAGTACCTAATACTAATCGAGCTATAAGTACTGTGTTCTTCTTCAGATAATCTCCATTGATTAGAGGCGGTAATACAAGCAGTATACAACACCAGCATGAGTATTTTAAATGTATGCATTATCTGCAGAGTTGGTCCCCAATCAACGTTATTATTACGATATTTACTACATGTTTCCGTAATCACGTGACTATACATTACAATATTACCTTCTATTGTAATTTCCGCTATTCAGATGGCAGGTGTGCCAGGAAATAATGCCGTCCGGTGAACGCAGATCACCGGAAGACGAATGTTCAGGAATCGAAGAATTGCTCCCTAAAATGATTGCATACATTGATTACTAACTAGCAGACGCAACATTTCATTGAAAACTGGAGGTAGGAACAGCGATTTAAGGCTGATCATCGTTCGCAGAGAGTCTACTTGTAATCCCCTTGATCTCAGTTGTCAAGTAAAGCACCACAGCTGTCATTATTACCATACAGTCTTCTAGCTTTCGCTCGCTCTTGAGTGTTTTTTTTTCAAGGATTTAAGACCAATTCATTCGTTTAAACGATGATTTACGGCACCTCATTTTCAGCGCTTGAATGGGACTGCGCCATAGCTTTCTCAGTGCTTAACTTTCACAAACATGCGTTGAAATCAACAAGGTGGTATATCTGGTAAGTTACGGGATGATAAAACTTACAACACTGCAGCGTTTCATTCAATTAGTTCATCTAATTAGTTCTTTTGTGTTAGTTGTTCCTGTCATTCGTCGACGTGTCAAGTATTTATTTGATTTTCACCAATTCTACCCAAGATGGAATCAAAACACACGTCAGAGATTATTGGTAGTAACTCAAACACGCAATTCATGTTAGGATGTGAATTCTGATGACTGCCGTAGCTTTAATTTACGCCAGAACAAAGTAACTGAACCAGACGTTTACTTTATCTACTACCTATTGTAACTGCGCTGGAGATGCTGCAATTAGGACTTCGTCATTTGCGTATCGCAAGTTTCTGATACACTTCCATCTCATGAGAAATCAGTGGTGAAGTCTTCCGAAACTTGTCGCATAAGGGTTTCACCAATTAGGCAAAACGATGCGATCGACGACGGCCAGCCTTGAAGCAACACATTGTGCACGACAATAAATCACACAGAAGACCAACTGCTGACATGTCGCAACATTTCAGGCAGCACACACGGATTATGCCCCACAGTTACCGCGTGCCATAAATATCAAAAGCCTTGGCATAAACCAAAAAATAAATACAGTAGTTTGTCAAGTTCCTGAATTTTTTCCATGACAGACGTTCGCTACATGATCCGTTATACTTCTACCGAATGCCTGGTTGATCATAATCTCGATCTACACCCTCTTCACTACTCTAATCAAACTGAGAATAAGGTACTACCAGTGGCAACAGATTATTAACAGTGTCGACCGTTCCGTAAATTCAGGCACAGTCAAGTAAACGCCCAAAGCGTCAATTGATTTGACCACCAGTTTGACATGAGCCGTGCACACGCCGCCATTTACCTTCTACTGAGGTACTTAGCTAATATATAACTCCATAGAAAAAAACTTATAAAAATGTACATATTTCACAGCGCCGCTTTCAGAACTCCATTTCACAGTGGTCATCGGCAGCATCGTAGTGCTAACTGTCAAGAGTCTCTTCTGGTGAGTCCTTGTCTCAATCCTCTTCTTCAATTCCCTCTTATGGAATGGTACCTAAAAATTCATTACTACTCCTGAAGTGGACACTAAAAATCTCACAGGAAGCGTTTAGTCCATCGCCTGCTTCTTAAGTACTTTTATACGCCTAAGCCCAATATAAACTCACAAGCACCGAATCCTAATGACGCCATTCCTCCAAGATTCCAAGACTGCTCAGACTTCAGTATGGATTCTTCGAAATTCCCACACGCCGAGCACAATCATGGCAGGCCATTTTGTCCTTGGCAGTTTGCAAATATAAATGACGCCATAGTCTGTTCAAAACTCGGTTAAGAAACGCGGTAAGCATCACAACAATGATTAACTGCAAGTTGTTACGCCGCGTCATCGACCGTGCCACAACTTTCGACTCCCAGATTTAGCAATTCATGTATCGATTGAAGCTCATTAATCTGGAACACTGGCAAAAGTTCACATTTTAAGGGGAATGTGGCTCTCAACAGAGCTTGTGATTGTCGTTCAACATGCCGATAATGCGATAATATTGTTTATTTCTTGTCAATGAAGTGTATGTTACTAATAATTTGATTCATGGCTAAGTTTTTTTCCATTTATGTCTAAAACGTTTTTGGGCAATGTTATTTAAGCGGCAACTGTCCTCAACTTTCAACCTGTTGAGCTATTCCAGTTAGACGATTTGTAGCAAC